GTTGAAAAAGGTTATTATTTTGGAGAAAGTCTCATCAACATCAATATTTCCACTAAATAAGAGGGAAAAAAATTGTTTGATAAAGGAAAAGCCTCTCAGGCTCTGAGCCCGACAGCACCAAACTATTTTATTAGACAATTAATTGAATTTCACATAATTATCGCGGTAGAAGCCATTTGTTTGTTAAATACTTAATGAAACATATTTACCGTGTTTGATGTTTGTTGTAAATTACGTATACGAGGTAATTCGTCCAAGTTTGTCGTTTGTTGAACGTTCAGAAACTACAGCGGCTGTGAAGAGCCACAGCAAAGGTAAACAAAGGTAAAACAACCTGAACAGGTGATCAACTCAAAACCTCTCGCACCTTTTTACTCTCCGTCTCTCTCTGTCATCTAAGCACACCTGTTGCCGTGGCAACCTCCTGCACTCCGCGAGCCCAGCAGAAATTACTTTAAAAACATAATATTCAGTCCATTACGATATTAGCTTTTCAGGCTTGATATTTATTTTGCGATTATTAAGAAGCACTTTCACGAACACAGTGGTGGTTGAATAGTCAATTTTAAACTCCTGCTCTGCTAGTTATTTTGGTAATGGAACCAAAACGCACAGATTTGCGCAACACCTTGTTGAAACAATAATCACTGAGATTATTATTGTTGTTGCGTCATTAATTTGAACAAGTTTTGTTGATTTTTTGTTGTTGTACTTTAATGTAGCTGATAGCGAAAATTCAACCTGGAAGACTCCATCACCTCCGTTCGCCCATCGGCGTTATGCTCATCTCCGACCTCAGCTCTGGACCTCACCCGGCTCGTCCAATCATCAATCAAGCTCTGCATAAAAGGATCCACACCAAAGCCGTCAGCTGCTTCCCAGCTGCGTTCAACCCACCACCGCCCCTTTTCCACCCACATCCTTCGACTCTCCAGGATGGCACCCTTTCCAGACCTCCACCACCAGTGTCGGGCCCCGGGGGAGAGCATCCCTAATCGGTTATCGGGATGTTCATCGAGTTCACATCAAATCTCAGCTCAGATCAGCTGCCTGGGCCCCGAGCGCCAAAGAACTGTTATTCATTGCTGTCATTAAATCTTTTAATTGTTCCTTTTTCTTCGTCTGAGTCTTTCCAGATTGAAATAAAGTTATGAACGTTTTAAGCCAATCAGAGGAGGACCTGCTGGTCTTAGCCTCCTGTCAGCGTTCAGTTTGTCACCTAATGCTGAGATCGACTCAAAACCTTCCGCTATCGGCGTATTGCAGCCCTGCTCTAGTAAAGCACGAACAATAGAAACAATATGAAATGGGGGGAAAAGCTACTTATTAACTGATCAAGTTGTGTTTTAGATTGTTCTTGAAAAACTAATCAGTCACGGCTGATTAGTGGGTGAACTCACGGCTGCACAGTGAACCTGTTGATTTCTTTTACAGCAGACAGTCGCTCCTCTCTCTTGCAGGTACTGCGTACCCCCGCTAAATCTTTTAGGGGTATGCAGTACCCGACCGTACCCCCTACTTTCACCCCTGATTAGTACTTTATAAAATTGTGTTTTTATGAGCTTTGTTATTTTGGGTATAAAGGGCCCAGTCATTAGCCCCGCCCCCCCAACCCGTCGCCACTTGTTCCGCCAAAAAACATACATCCATATTTGCCCTGAACTCCCCTATCTGTGTTAAATAGTTCGTTCTTGCTTGCAGCGCTTCAGAGTGTCGCTGTTCAGCAGCAGGCAGTGGAAGACACGAACGATTGTGGCAGTTACTATGCTGCTAAGAAAAGTTATAAAATCAGGTTTAAAAAAAAAGAGAGAGGGAGAGAGAAAAAGGTAAGATTGTTAATTTATAACCCAGTTTTTCTCCAAGAAAGGTGGGTAGACTTTCTTGGAGATTGTCAACCATTTGGCATAATTAGCTTAGCTACAAACTACTGTTTGCCTCCATTTCACTAGCATAATGAATTAAGGGGAAAAAAATTACCAACATATTCATATATTTAACTTGTCCCTTGTACCTTTCACCACTTAACAACAAATGAGTCAGTCAGCAGCAGCTCTAACCCACGTCCCTCCTGACCTGTTCTCTTCTGAGTGAAATTAAAGCTGCAGTATATCATTTTTATATAAATATTTTTTCACATATTTTNCAAAGGTAAACAAAGGTAAAACAACCTGAACAGGTGATCAACTTTAAACCACTCCTACCTTTGTATTCTCCGTCTCTCTCTGTCATTTAAGCACACCCGTTGCCGTGGCAACCACCTGCACTCTGCAAGCCGAGCAGAGATTGCGTTAAAAACATAACATTCAGTCCGTTACGATATTAGGTTTGCAGGCTTGATATTTATTTTGCATCATTAATAATCCTCCCTGAACACAGTGGTGGTTGAATAGTCAATTTTAAACTCCTGCTCTGCTAGTTATTTTGGTAATGGAACTCAAACGCACAGAATTGCACAACACCTTGTTGAAACAATAATCACTGAGATTATTATTGTTGTTGGGTCATTAATTTGAACACGTTTTGTTGATTATTTTGGTTGTTCTTTAATAAAGTTAGGAACGTTTTAAGCCAATCAGAGGAGGACGTGCTCGTCTCAGCCTCCTGGTGGCGTTCAGTTTGTCACCTAATGCTGAGATCGACTCAAAACCTTCCGCTATCGGCGTATTGCAGCCCTGCTCTAGTAAAGCACGAACAATAGAAACAATATGAAATGGGGAAAAAAGTTATTTATTAACTGACTAAGTTGTGTTTTAGATTGTTCTCAAAAAACTAATCAGTCACGGCTGATTAGTGGTGAACTCACGGCTGCGCAGTGAACTTAATGATTCTTTACAGCAGACAGCTGCTCCTCTCTCTTGCAGGTACTGCGTTCCCCCCGCTAAATCTTTCAAACTGCTGTGTTAGATTAGCTAATAGAACTGGTAGCTAATCTACCACAGCATTCACTTATTAATAATTGCAAAATAAACATTAAGCCAGCAGACTGAATGTTCTGTTCTTTGTGTGGGAAATATTTGAGTGTTTTTTGGTGTTGAATCCTGAAACATAAAGTTGCGTTGTCAGTTGCTGTGGCAACGAGTTTGTGTGACTTTTCCCTTTGCTGTGCAGCATAGCACTAAATTAATAATACCTTCATTTCCAAGTTTCATTGAGTTAACGGAATTATTCTACCGTGACAGTGTGGCTATGGATGGCATGTAAAGGATTGTCTTTTTGCCCTCCAGTGTTGTCCGCATGAGAACAACATGCTGGGGGACTATATTTGTAAATTTGATTTTGATTAAGTCAGTGCCTCACCAGCTATGATCCTCACCGCACATCATTGATATACACATATATTTATATATAAAAGATATATATATACGTATGTATCTATAAACCTATCCTTCATGCATAGACAGATAGATAAGATGTCGTGACTAAGTTGTAACACAGTTGGTTCTGTGGATCCATTTTCTTTGGTTTGGTGAATGAACTCCTGACTATGATCAGTAGGCTGCTAGTGACTAGTAGCGCACTGCTGGTGGATATTTAGTGTAACACGGAGCAGGTTGTTTCTCCAGTGGGTGGTGCAGGTTGCTCCAATCGAGAGTAGCTACACAGCCACTAGTGGAAAACAAACAAACACATCCAGTAATAACACTTTCATTCTATTGGTTGAGAGGTTGCCCTGCGACGGTGCTCTTTTGTTCCAAGGACGAGCAGAAAATTATTTGCAAGGGAGCAGAGAAGTTTGCAAGCAGAGATTTGATCCAAGCAGAGAGAAGTTTTGAGTGCGAGGAGAAAGGTTTGACAGAGCACAGTGAAGATTTGAAAGAGAGCAAAAGTTTTGAGAAGAAAGACAGGAAGTCCTGTTTTCAAACTGAAAATGTAAGGACAACTATTAAAAGTTTTGAGAACAAAAGACATGAAAACCTACTTTTAGACTGAAAATGTGTGCTCTCAAATTGTGGCAGAAAAATTCCCCCATATCAGATGGAATCAAAAAGTCTCCTTTTAGGTTTTTTTGTGTAAGCCCAGATCACTACATCAATTCTTGACGTCTTGCATCATAAAAAAGCTGCAGAGATTGTTAACTTCAGCCAGCTGCAGTTGTGGTCATTGGTCTGCCACTAATTTACAATGACAACCCAACAGCACATAATATTTTTAAGTTTTATTCAGCATGTTTTACCATAAGTGTCCTCTCGGAAGCACACACTGATTCACGTTTTCTTGCTCAGGAGAGAAACGTGGAGGCTGTGAGGGGAGCGAAGGACGAGAGGGTAAGGGAGATCCGGAACGCGGTGGAAATGATGATTGCTCGTCTGGACAACCAGCTGAAGAACAAACTCATCACTCTCATGGGTAGGACACCGAAAACTGATCTGGAAGCTGCAGCAAATTGGAAAAATGTTGTTTAGCAGTTAAACTTGCTGATGGAGGCTTGATGAGTTTTTCTCTGAGTTTTGCACACTTTGAAAGTCCTGAGATGATCACTTTTGGGGAAAAATTGTCAGGTGTCTTACAAGTTTCTGACTTGTGAATAATCTTTCTCACATGGTGTGTGGAAGATTGCATTAAGGCTGTCTCAATGGAAACACCCGGCTTCTTCTTTTTATTTTGGCCTGATCTTTGCTAAATATTGATATCTGGAAATTTGTTGCATTTCCATATTATGTCCTAACGTGTAAAATCCTAAGATTGAACTATTGATTCTTACAACAGTCACCTTGAAGCCCTTTTGTTTTGCTTTTCCCATCTGAAAAGATTTTAAATTTGTCATTGCACTAAAATGTGGCCTGAGGTGTTTTTTTTTTTTTTTCTTTTTTTTTCTTTTTCGTCAACAAAATATTTTGGTGCTGAAAACAGCAGAGCCGCCGTTATATATGACTAATACACATTTGAAATATTTATCAGGAGCAAGTAGATGCCTGCTCTCAGCAGCACCCACACACAAAATCTGCAGCCCTCCATCAGGGCTAGCATTCAGCAAACTGCAAATAGAAATGCCTTGTCCTCCCTAACAGGCCAGAAGACGTCTTTGACCCAGGAGACGGAGCTGCTGGAATCTCTGCTGCAGGAGGTGGAGCATCAGGTCTGTTGTTCACAGATCAATTGTTTTAGTATCCAAAGCAATCCAGAAACCACTCTTGTCATGCCATGTAATTACATTGTTCTGTCACAATCACCCTGGTTTAGCTTATTTTAGTTTATTTAGCCTAGTTTAGCCATGAAAACTGTAAGCTCAAAGATTTGTCTTCATTATTGGCTGCCTCAGAAGAATATATTCCCTTTTCAAAAAATTCAGTATTCCTACTGATGCCAACTTCAAGAAATCTTGCATAATAATAAAAAAAAACGCTTGAGAAAGAAATAACCAAAAATAGTTAAGGACAGTGTTGGAATGTAACAAAGTTCAAGTACTTTGTTACATCTGAAGTACTGTAAAGAAGCACAGTTTGTTTCTATAAAGCGCTTGTGTTACATGTTACATCTAAGTCACATTGCGCTTTTTTAAAAAAAACAAAAACATGTTTATTGATTTTAACAAGAGCACAAGAACATGTATAATCACTTACAAATACAAAAAATATAAGGGCATGGGAGAAGAAAAAAAACTGCAGCAGACCCTCAATAGACCAACCAGCATAAACACCAGTTTGTCTTACAACAAGCCCTCTTTCCACCCGTTGAGTTGGATATTATTTTGGATCAGCCAAGTGTAAAAGACGGACCAGATTCCCCAAAATTTATCGATCTTGTTCATTGTAACGTAGCTGATTTTCTTAAGTGCAAAATAAAAAGTCATTTGTGTAATCCATTGTGAAATTCCACACAATGTCTCTTTCTTCCATGAGGACGCGATACAGTATTTAGCTTCCAAAAAGGAGACATTAAGTAGGGATCTCAGGACGTTATCTTCTTAGGGATGGCATAAGACCTCCGGATTCTGGTACAGAGATGGAAGCAAAGCTGAACAAAGAGTTTGAATTGATGATGATATTGGATACATTTATTTCCGCTCTAAATATTTAATATGTAGGTGTTTTTATGGGAATGTGGGTCTTTCAGGTCAAATTGAGAAGCAATTTTGATTACATTTCACATTTTATTGTGTCATGTATTGCAGGGCTCTTAACTTGATTTCAGATTAAGTGTCTCGACTACAACACTGCTAAGTGGCAGCCCCAATTTTGACTCCTCTTCCTTGGTCGCATGTCCTCTCCCACTCCCCTTCTTTCCATCCCTTTCCTGTTGGATTTTTTTTTTTTTTTTTCAAAATAAATGCCACTAGTGGCAAAAAAGTGAAGTTCATGCTCTTAGTACAGGAGAGAAGATGTTTTCAAATCACTCTGCACTTGTTAGGTCTGTTTAAAGTCCCTTTTTTCAGGGAGACAACTTTCTCTTGAATGTGTTTATTTTGTGTTAAAACATTTCAAAGGTATAATAATTCCTCTAATTTTGCCTAATTACATTTAACCCTGTAGGTCATCCCTGAAATTTTGATTCTTAGAATCACAAATCTAGATCTAAACTGTGTCTTAGAGAGAAAACACAATAAAAACATGCTTTATCTGCTGCATTGTTCTGCATTGTTGTTGTTAATGTGGTACTTTTACTACATTGTTTGAGTACTTTCTCAACCATCGGTTATGGAGCATGTTAACGCAGTCAAGCAATAATTTAGAACTGTAAAAATATGAACTGTTGATCAGATAAAACAGATTCTTGAAAGAACTATGACAACTGCTACATACTATTTATATCTGAGTATATTTTATATTTGAGTGGTTTCACAGCAAGACCTTTGTGTTTGCATGTGTTTGTGTTGCACAGCTTCACTCGTGCAGTAAGAGTGAGCTGATCTCTAAGAGCCCAGAGATCCTGCTCATGTTCCAGCAGGTCCACCGTAAACCCATGCAGTCGTTCGTCACCACGCCGGTCCCACCGGACTTCACTAGGTAACCTCAGTGGAAGCAAAATATAACGATTTCAGTAAGTTTCATGGCTTATAACAACTGTTGAACATACTCACCTGAATGTTTGGTTTTTAGTGAGCTGGTTCCTGCTTATGATTCCAGCACTTTTGTACTCATCAACTTCAGGTAAATATTTGATTTAGGCTGCAAAGAAAGAAGCTTAAATATTCTGCTTACTGAAACATTTTTGTCTCTTTTTGTTGTAGCTTTTAGTTTCTGAAAGAAACATGTAAAATTCTGTAAAAACTGTCTTTCAGTGCAGACAACAGTTTACTGACGGACTAAATGGCTGTGCAGAGTTTGGGTGAAGCATGAGCTCTGCCTAAGTTATTTAAGCTAATAAATAACTGTAATGGAA